AAATTGGATATCAAGAAACAGAGTCCACAGAGAACTTCCACAGACCTTCTGGAAATCAACAGAAGAATGATGATCTTCCATTGCGATGGATGGTGAGGCACAGCTCATATGGAACTGAATCTTGCAGTCCGATTGTGGCAGAACAAAATGTGCAAAATATACGTTGATTGTTGGACTGGTTTCACACCAGTAAAGTGCCCAGATCACCCAACAGGCCTGAACTGGACAACACTGACATTGAAAAGACCCAGGTCTGAATTAATTTTACTTTATTATATTTTTTTGGTATTCGTGCACGCACGCTGTATTCGCTACTGTTGTTGGTTGTAATACAGCTTACAATATTTTAATACAACGAGATGCAGTTTCAACATCTTGTGGTTGTGTTTTCCTTGTGGTTACCCATCCTCTTGGCTCCTATCATTCCTTAAGTTTCTAAAATTGGCCATCTTTTGTTATTTTTCTTACATACTGGTTAAACGGGCAGAGTGGCGGCGAACTGCACCACAAAGAAGAAGACGGAAATAAAAATCGAGGCAACCATGGTCCTAAAGTACTCTTTTTAATTTTTTTTTTACATTTATGGCTCTTTTAATGGGACATTAACTGGAAGGACAACTGTGCCACTGTCCATGAAAGAGCTGAGGAGAGCCCAAGGGTCACCCCGCAGCCGTGGAGCAAAAGCCAGAGGGGGTTGCAGTGACATGCCCGTCACTGCAATGATATAGATTCTTACACAGTCAGTATCAGAGTTTTTGTTATGAAAGGGTAGATAATCAATTATTAACTCAGAAAAACTTCCAAAACAGGAAGGCACTAATCACTACTGTAGTACTCTAAGCACTACTGAAGAGCAGTGGTTAGACCCAAAATAAGCCTAATGGAGTATTTTGGTAGTTTAGTCAAATTGAGTCCTAGCACACACTTAAAACATCCACTGCTGAACAAAATGAAGCACAATAAACAGAAATAAAATGGAAAACATAGGAGAACAGGACAGGATTTTAAAAAGAAAGTAAAATAATAAATAAATAAAACAGATAAAAGTAGTTGGACCTCATTCTGATTTAAAGGGTAAAGAATAAAAAATAAAAATGTAGTCTATGGAATTAACAATTTCTTACACAAGGAACTTCTAGGATAAATTACACCCAAACACACTTATATAACAAGAGACACACTGACACATAGAGACACTTCAGCAGAACCACAAAGAAGGACACAAACACAGACACAGAGACATGTTCTCATATGGGGACGTTACATGTTGGCTTTTCTGTGTAACGAGCTAAAAAGATAGAGCTGTAAGGACAGACGATGTTTCACACAGCATCATTTTACAGATGGAGAAAAATACATTCACCTGAAAACAAATCAGTGTCTGAATTATATTTTCTGTCACATTTGGTTACTCAAAGTAGAATTACTCACAGCAGACCAACCTGTCACAGTGAGGAGAACAAATCCACTGACTGCTGTTATTACACTCATAGCTGCTCCTCTCATTGCTCTGTGTGAGCCGTTAAAATGCAAGTAGATAACTGACAGTCCTTTCTGTAAAGCAGAAGTCAACTCATCCCAGTCTTTAAGATACAGAAGTGAAGTGTTAAAAAATGACACCCTCTCATCTTCCTCCTTATTTGCATACATGGTTAACCAGATGCAAGTGGATAAAACTTCAAGACAGCAAAGCTGCAGTTTTACCAGCAGTGACAGCGTGTCTGAGATTCTTTACAACGTCTTAGTTATCCAGGAGATGCTCTCTGTGGCAGGAAGCCTTTTTCAATCTGTGAACAAATGTTTTTGATGTGATACAAGTGTGTGAGATGGACTCACAACACTTTACAGAATTAGAACTGAGCTCAAAATGAGGTCAGAGTTAAAGATGAGTGTGGTCTGAACCACAAGTGCTGAGAAAAGCACACATGAACTGTGAAAGCTAATTCCTGGTTATCTTCTTTGCATATTCATTATAGTTTAAATGTGTGTGTAGGTGCCCGTATGATCTGCTGACTAAACACAGTGTACATAATAACCTTGATAGCATAGAGTAGAGAACAGAGCTCTGCCCGTCTCTTGATATTGGCAGAAGAAGCGTGACGAGACAGGTTCAACTTTTTATTGCAGACAAATTCAACAAATGCACATTTGCAGATTATCAAGTTACACATGAATATTGAAAATGCAAACTGGTTAATACACACGGCAGCTTC